ATCGTAAATCGTCTGGCACGAAACAACTATTCGTTTAATGGTCGATAGTTGTGTGGAAGGGTGAATATAAGAAAAAAAATAAAATAAAATATAGAAGAAAAATAGAAAAAAAATAAAATAATCACGAACGGCCTTCCCAGTTGTTTTGTGTAGTAGTAGTAGTAGTAATAAGTATAACTCGAGGTTGCTACGATATTCGTGAACGTGTTGTGTAAGGAATTACAGAGGCCATGGCTGAATAAATGAATATATATATGGGTATTTGTATGGGTATTTGTATGGGTATTTGTATGAGTATTAGTATGAGTAAGTATGTGTGAAAACGAGAGAGCGATATGCGTGCGTACGCGTACGCGCTCTACCGTGACGCGACTCGTAATGTGATTGAACTCGGAGATAGCCTGAGTTCCTGGCTAAAACTAAATGCCAATCTAAGAGACACCCGGTATGTATGTATCTACAAAAGTATGCGTGCGTAGAAATGTTTACGCATATACGAAATTTTACACTTTTCTTTTATATTTTTGAATATCGCGGACGTATCGACGAGGAAATTAATTTCGACGCGTTTTTGTTTGTACATTATTATTTTTCGTTCTAATATTTTTGTAACAATAAATTATTTATTCGAATTAATTCCACGAGTTTCTTTTTTTTAGAATTTTATTTTCCATCCAAATATTGTTCGATTAAAATGTCATTAAAATCTAAGAAAAATAATGTTGCTCGCCACGATGTCTGTGTCTTATAAGAAAAAAAATTAATTCATTGCATTGTATATAAGATAAATTTTAATTTCAAATAAATGAAGAATAGTATTCGCGAGTTCGTTATAAAATGTAATGCAGTTGGAATCTGAAAAAATATTGAATTAGTGAATAAAAACTCGATTGAAAAGATCTCGATTAAATTAAAAAAATATATGAAAGTATAATGAAAAATAGATGAGAAAGATAAGACCTCAGATGGAACATAATAAAAACTTCTTCTACGATATTGTATGATCAAACGTAAATCTAATTTAAAAATAAATTAAATCCAGTAAGTATTGGCGTATTAGTTGTACAGTGATATATCTTTAAAGTTGGTAGAAATTAAAATCAACTAATGGAAATTACGCGAGATATTATGACTGAAAGCGAAAATTAATTATTATCGTCCAGCCATCATACAAGAACACGCTTGACGTGTAGAAGTTTATTGTTTTTAGTGTTGGTTAGTTTCGTTATATGTAAACAATGCTTTCACCACACGCGCTACTTCAACGATATTATCATTTTTTTTCATTTAACTGCAGATAAGTGTCCGTGAAGTGCACGAAGATAAAATCGAAATGTAACACATTTTGTATTCCGGAGCTCAAAACTATTTGAAAATTCATTGTTAACCTTGTCAAGAAAATAAATGAAAAGAAAAGAAGAACGAAAAATCTAATCGATTGTTTAGAATTTATAATGGATTAACACGAATGAATAGATGAAACGTATGAAATGGATGGATGAATAAATGGATTTCATGACATGGAACATAACGCAATGCAAAGGCATAATAATCATCGTGCGTACTTTCACTCGAAAGTTTCCTTCGAACGACGCTTTTAGTTCAGGTAACGATCGGCACATTAAAATTCTCTCTAACACAAAATGGGAATCGCAAGAGAGAAAAAATTTCGCTCCAATAAATGCGAATCGCTTCATGCACCTTTAATCTAGGTAAAAAGGATCGATTCGTCTCTCTCTCTCATCTAGATTTATAATAGTTTATTATTATTTACGATTATATTATCACTTTCGAAAACTTTCCGACGTATTAGACGTCGGCAAGAATTTTAATATGATTTTGTTTTAATAAAAATTATAGGTGAATAATTTCAAGTAAATATTTCTTTCATCTGAAACATTTATAAATCGCTTCGAATGAAAGTTATTAAAATTAATTGTAAACATTTTTTAAACCTATGAATTATGAATAATTGCAAATAAAGAAGAGGAAGAAAAAAAAGATAATCGATCTATAGCCATCAGTTATATAAAGATTGAAACGACTTTCTGACGTAACCAAAGGTGGTTTTGTTGACACGAGCAATCACGCGTGTTGCCACCTGCATCAATGTTGCGTTGCAAAATGTGCGTGTTTTCACGCAGAGTATTTCCTTTTCAATGACGTTATATAAAATATAAGTTAATGTCGAAATACAGATATTCCGTTTTTTCCATGTAACGAATTGTCAATATCGAGAAAGTTAACATTTATCTATTCGTGACGCATAGTCTTAGAATTTTATAAAATTAAAAAGACGATTCAATAAATATTCTTTATTTTTTAATTTTTATTCAAAGCGTAGCAATTAATTCGATGCCTTGTTGCATCAAAATCATCATCTTTTCTTTTTCTGTCAAGGAATTCAGCAGTTGCCTGAAAGATAGACCAAAATTGTTGAAAATAATGAAGACTATTTTGTATACAAAATAAATATTAGATTTGCTTAAAAGCCACTTAATTAATTGCTATATCTAATATTATATATGTAGAAAATACAACAAATTATATTCATTATGACTTGCAGTTAGAAATATTTGTCGATTAAAAAATAATGAAATGAAAAATAAAATAATGTCAAATATCAAAATTTGATATAAAATTTAATATTGTAAATGGAAGTATATGAAATATTAGAATGTAAAGATTAGTTGTTAGCTTCCGAGTATAGCGGGAGTATCGAAAGAGTGTGCATCGAGTCTATCGAGAGAGGTGCTGCTGCTTTCTCGAAGAGAGCCACGAAAAGGGGGGAACTGTGAGGGGCACACCTGAATCATCCGTGGAATGTAACGCTCCGGCCACTTGGATTTTACCGTACCTTCTCGTTCCGTACCCGTCGTCGTCTCTGAGCTTTTCTCTCTCTCTCTCTCTCTTTTTCTCTCTCTCTTTTTCTCTCTTTTTCTCTAGACTTTGCTAAAGAGGAGGTTGAGAAACAAAAGAAGAAAAGAGAGAAGAGACTCGATGGTGTTATTTAACAGTAGCAACCCTGGCCGTCGAATAACGAGCCACGCGAACGAATCAATTAACGAACGGCAACTTCCTCCAGGTAAACCTGGACACGGGTCACTGTCTTCATCGATCTTGGATTTTTATTATCCTACCAGTATGTATCAATTATAATTAATTGTTCGAAGGCTTCTTCAACGAAAAGTATCCTCTTGATCGTTCAATCTCAATTCTCCATTTTCAAAAAGAGACTTGCACAAATTGTTAGAATTATTTATAATAAATAATATACAATTATCATGACAAATATAATTCAATCTGAATATCTCTTCATATTTTAAAATGCATTCATACTAATTGTTAAAATTTTGTAATAAATAATATTAACTTAACATAACAAACATCATTCTATATGTATCTTCATGTATTAAAATGCATTTATATTAATGGTTAGAATTTTGTAATAAATGATATTCAGTCAGCAACGTGATTTTGAAACTAAATTTCTATTTTAGAACGTACTCAATAGATTCAATAGATTAATAAATTCTTTTCTTACATCGAAATCCCAGTACTTTCCAAATTTGCACGTTTCCAAGCAGAGTTTCAATAGAACCTTTACTTTATATTATATCATTGTACCCAAAGAATTGTTTGCGACATGAAGTTTTGAAAAATTTCCAAAGACCTTTTAGGTTTCTGATTTTCCTCGGGATTCAGGTTTTACGATAAGTCGTTAAAATCCTTACTGAAGTATCCTGTCTGCCTATGCAAGGTCAGCAATGAGAAGGAAATGAAAAAAAAATTAAATATACAAAATATAAAAAATAAAAGAAAAGAAAAATGATGGAATTCCGTTGTCACGTTCCATTTTAATGAATCCCTATCGGTAGGGATATTTCTTGTTTCATTGCTCTCCGCAAATCCATTTTCGTTTGAACTTTGTTTATTCCTCGTGCAAATTGAAATGTGACGAGCAAGTAGAATATACGAACGTCGACGGGTCATCGATGTTCTCTTTTTCTCTCGGAGGAGGAGGATCAGCTAGCCGTAGATCCTCATTTTAGTGATAAATACTTGCGTACATATGCATAATATGTATTTGTTTGTGTATGTAAGTATGTATGAGTTTCTATACGTCAGGACGAATTGAAGTGGATCCTCTGTGGTAATACCGGGTGTTCACATAATTAAATAACACGTCACTATTTCTTTCGTTAATTATGAATAATAGGACGAACAACATTGTTACGCATTTTTTTCCCATGATTTCGCTTTTACAAGAACGATTACTGAACGAAAGAAAGAAGATCCTGAATTACGAGAGGCTAAATGTATTCTCTCTTCTCTAACTAATTATTAATTAAATCACATTCTTGGTTTTTTGTTTCTTTTTTTGTTTCGCTAGACACGAGAGACGTAACGTCACTTCGATAACGAGTTAATTCGTTTAACCGGTAAAATTCTTAAACAATAAAACTGTGTATCTTTAAAAAATTATCGCATACACACGAGCGATAATAATCAATGAATAATCGATAGCATTGACATCGTTCTAATTGACTTAAACGATAACGTCAATGAAAAATCAACGATCTTACGTTGTATTTTTCTATCGAACTCATTTTTTCAAATGTATTCATTCGAATGTGTCAATAAAACTAATCGAACATTTACCGTTTCTACAATCTAAATCTAAATCAAATTTATCTGTTTCTTTTTATTCTGAATAAAGTTGTTCTTCCGTTAAAGAATCGTCATGGATTCGAGTAAATAATTAATATTCACTAATATGTCATGCTCCAAAAATTTCGCTAATCAAGACAAGATTAAATTTCTTTTAATGGAAAAATTTCTGTTACTGACGTTTTTATATTATTCGTTGACATAATTAATATTTGAAATGGTAACACAAACACACACGTGCACTTAACTACACATATTTATACATAAGTTTTATCATCGAAGATCGCGATAACGATTTTGATAAAGTTCTTTTGATCTTGCTCACTCACCTGACACCTGTACTGACGAAGAACTGATCTGCTCAGTGGTGGTCCAAACGCAGCATCTTTCTTGATCCTTTAATCCTTCTATTTCTTCTTCTTCTTCTTCTTCTTCTTCTTCTTCTTCTTGTTATATTGTTTTTTTTCAATATTTATCTCTCTCTTTCTTTCTTTCTTCTTTGATTTCTTGTTTGTTTACTTACTTGTACACGTAAGTTAAATAAATATGAAGAAGAAACAAGAGAAAAAAAATATAATTATCTTTTGGAGATAATTTGAATCACACCGCGAATGCAATCAATCGAAATATATATACTTATGTTTGTATTTATACGTATGTGTATGTATATTTGTGATTTGAGAAATGGCTTGGACACTTCCACCGAGCGAGCGGGTCCGAACGACTGAAAGTGCCTCTCGGTACGTTCGCGGGCCTTCCTCGAAGGAATCATTCGCTCTATCCCTACTCTCTCTTTCTCTTGTGAAAAGATTCTCTGACTACCGTGCTGAACCTGGTTAACACGAGAACAACTGATGTCCAATGGATCGTGACCAACTATTTACAAAAAAACTTACTTTCTTTTCATCAAATGCAACAAATTCTTTCTAAATCACGAACGAAATATATTTAAACGAATTTTTTTCTTTATTTGGAGATATGCGCTTTCTTTTTTGTAGCAATAAATTCAATAGATCTTCATTATTGAATAGGAAAACATAACGGAGGAAAACAAAATCAACCAATTCGTTGTGTTCTATACCGAAGTAATAGCAACGCCATAAACCTGATTTAAAATATTAGCAATTTTTAATTACACAAAAATTATTATCGTATAATCATCAGTTCTTTTTTCTTTTTTTTTTTGAGGAAGAATGAATTTTGTATAAAAGTATATTATATACATGAAAATGATTGGTATACAATTTTATTGTCACGTAGAATTTAATTTTACTTTTTCTTTCTTATATGCGGTAACATTTTTGAAGAAGAAAATATAGGATTTGTAATTAATTTTTTTTTCTAACTTTATATCGCAAGAGATAGAATTTTTTTTGTTCTTTACTAATTCAAAGGTACTGCATTGCGGATTCACAACGATTTCTCGGCAGTGCCGATAAACGGCGATAATTGGTGCAGGACAAATCGCAAATCGATACACGAACATTCTGTTTGATCCCATGAAATGAAATCGATCTTGTGTCAAACCATTTCCTGATTAAGGATTGGCGGTAAGGATAAAGTACGAGTAAAAATTATATGCTGAAACTTTCAGTACGTCACGCACGGAATGATTTAAATAACAGATTTAAAATAGGCACGTATGTATATATCTAAGCACACGTATTCGCATACTCGGATGTAGTATCGTTCATTAATCATTTATCTTCAATTTCATAGTCCTATTATTTTAAAAACTTGAATTACGATTCATAGCAATAAAAAAGTAAATGAAATTAAATTTAAATTATTTGATTTTATATCAATATAATCATTTTCTTCGATATGGCAATAAATATCATTACATATAAATAAATAATTATTGGTTAATATCTTTATTTTTAATCGAATTTACAAATTGTTTAATTTGAAAAGATTTGAAATGGCCGCTTCAATCGGCGTGTCGATAGAAGAGATGGAGCTCGCGTGTGATAGGTGGTGGAGTCACATGACATGCGACGATGGCGCTTTTGGCAACCACTCTTTTGACGGACACTCTTCCGTTCTGAACAATTACGGTCACGGGTTACGTTGTTCGCGATCGGTTTCCAAATTATGAGGTGATTTCGATTTAAGATTACAGATAGAAATAAATATTTTGTTCCAATCGAGTGAAGAAGATTATTTATAGAAATCTCATAGTTGATAAAAAGAGAAGTGGGAGGAATATTAGGAGGAGTAGGAGAGTAAAGAAGAAGAATAACTTTCAATCGTGTTACGTTATCGCAGATTAAAAGCCTGAAACGAAGTTTTCCTTCATCACAAGGCTGATGTCGTTCGTTAGATCGTGCTATATACGATAGCATCCTAGTGGCGAAATAAAAAAGCAACGACCGTGCGGGAGGTAGCTGGCCATCTTGGAAAACAGATATGGTTGTATCAAGAGAAACGTCAACAGAATTGTGTTTATCTCTTATTACTCTACATGCCGCGAAAGGTTTACTTTAATTACCTTTGCGATAGACGTTAGCCGCTTAATTAATCTTCAAAAAGTGAGGAGGAGGAGGAGGAGGAGGAGGCCGACACGGTGGCGTATCTGACACGCGGACAATATCGCAAAAGGTGCGTAAATTTGCTTTCAAAGGATGAATCGAGGTGACGGGTTGGTGCAGAGAAGAAGAGTGGTTAACAGTAGCAGCAGCAGTAGTGGACTCGGCCAGGATGGTTCCAACGACCTTGGTCACAATGAAAAATCATCCGGTAACGGTATGGACACTAACTGTTCATCTCAAAAAGACCTTAATTCCAATCCTACGATAGACGATGATTCTGATAAAGAAACTAGGTTGACTCTTATGGAAGAAGTCTTACTCCTTGGTCTCAAAGACAAGGAGGTGAGGACATTCAATCTTTTAATCTTTAGTTTTAGTTCCTTTTTTTATTGTTTTGTAACAGTTTGTTTTTTTACTGCTTCCTAGGGTTACACATCCTTTTGGAACGACTGCATAAGCTCAGGCTTGCGTGGATGCATTTTGGCAGAACTTGGATTCCGTGGCCGTGTTGAATTAGAAAAAGCTGGTATGCGTAAGAAAGGTTTACTCTCGAGGAAACTTCTCTTGAAAAATGATGCGCCTACAGGAGATGTCTTGTTGGACGAAGCGTTGAAACATTTAAAAGATACTAATCCTCCAGAGACTGTTCCAAGTTGGATAGAATATTTAAGTGGTCTGTTAATAATCTATAAATTTTCCTTGACTTTGAACATAATACTTTAACTTTTCTTTTATGGCTCATCGTATTGACTGTTGTAGGTGAGACGTGGAATCCTTTGAAGCTTCGTTATCAATTAAAAAACGTTAGAGAAAGATTAGCTAAGAACCTTGTTGAAAAAAGCGTATTAACCACAGAAAAACAGAACTTCTTACTCTTTGATATGACAACTCATCCTCTTACCGATAACCTCGCCAAAAGTCGTCTTGTTAAAAAGGTAATTCATATATTTTATTATATATGTATTTATAATATTTATTTACAGCTATCTTTTTATGCTTTTGATATTAGACCTAATACATGCATATACTTTATTGTAACGGAACTAATATCTTATCTCTTTGGTTGTATTCCATTGTCTAAATTGGATGTTCATAATAGTCTCTAAAATGATAAGGAAATATCATTCGTAGCAGTTTTTTTACTTCTGTTACAAAAGTTAACGTGTATCTTCTATTTATGCATCTTTTTTTAGAAAAATCATTTCTTTTTTGGTATTTTCAGTATACAATTTGGAATGCGTTATCTATTTTCTTCTTTTCGTTCCTCTTTCAATATTACTGTTGCAGAAATTATGCAATTATCGTACATTAGCTTTTAATGTATTAGTGGCATAGTTTAGATTATAAGATTGTTATGTTTATGGAGCAGTATAATATTTTATTTACAGATTCAGGAAGCTGTGTTAGGTCGTTGGGTAAACGATGCTGGTCGTATGGATAGGCGGACGTTAGCATTAGTGATTTTAGCCCATGCGGCTGACGTATTAGAGAATGCATTTGCACCTCTCTGCGATGACGATTATGAAGTAGCAATGCGCCGAGTTCGAACGTTGTTGGATCTAGATTTTGAAGCTGAAGCTGCTAAGCCTAATGCCAATCCTGTATTATGGGCTGTATTCGCCGCATTCACTAAGTAACACAGTTTTCATTAATTTAAAATGTAACTTATAAACATTGGATAATAGTGCGAACAGTGGGATTACCAATTTTGCATGTCCTTTTAGTTGTAATACTTCAAAAGAAATAGTTAATGAGAAATCATTCTTACAATCATATGATTCAGACCAAATAACATAACTTGACTGCACCCAAATGCAGTGTTAGGACATATATATTAGTCATTTTTATTATTATTTAATAACTTTGATAACTGTGTGAACTCTGTGTATTAGGTTCAGATTTGAAATATCACAAAGTAACGAAATTCCATGTGTGAATGTGCACTTGGAGTGTGATTTAGTGCCATGTAGGGTTTGATAAAAAAAAAAAAGAAATAAAAGAAAACATTTTTCATTATAAAGAATTTTCTTATTAAATATTTAGTATCTACCATTTTGTATAGAATTTTCACATATATAACATTTGTAGATACGGCCTTTTATATACGGCGAATTCTATCTATTATGTTACTTGCTACCATCATTGATTGTCGCTTAAGAATAAAAGATAATATAAAAGGCGGTATACCAAATTGGAAATATTATACTAAGTTATAATTCAATAATGTCCTTCCCTACGGGCATTCATATTGCATTTGGGTATATCTCTCCTAGTGAAGTTCCTTTCAAATCGAAGCACAGATTTATAAGATCGCTGGGTGGCAGTATAGCAATTATTTTCTTTGACACATATCATTCGCATTATGCTATTTTATATGAGAAAATATTTTTTTCAACGTTCCAAATAACTTTGCATAAATTATATTTTGTATTTTGGTTTTATAGAAATCGCGCAATGCAAATGTTAATGATAACAATGTCAGTGCCGTACTATCATACCTAAATAGAAATAATAATATTAATAACTATTAACACATATGCATTACTCATTTTAGATGTAGATTTTTATTCAGATGCTTGTATCAAAATAACATTGTAGAAAATTATTAAATATCGTTTGTTTATTAAAAGTAGTAATTTAAAAAAAGAGATTTATTTATATAAATGAAATATCGGGGGAAATACGGTAAATTCAATTTACATTTCGTAGATTTTAAATTATTACTAGTAAGTTAGTCGTTGTTGTAAAAGTATTAATTTAAACAAAGTATTCGGTGAATTATATTATTATTTAGTATTTTGCTTCTCTATTTCTTTTTTTTTTAAACACACAGGCCTCAAAACAATTATTTGAGTATTTTAATAATCGTAATTATATTAATGTATTTTTTAATGTAATTAAGTTCTTTTTGTTTTTACTAGTTTGTAATATTTTATTAGCTGTCCATTCAAAGGGGTTACAAATATCTATAATAGTTCAATTATAGTATACTTATAGATATATTTTATCTTGCTATAATAGCTTACTGAACAAGCAAATGCAATTGCTATTAGTTCGTTGGGCATTTATTATTTTTTACTTTGTTATTAGTTGTTTAAATTACTTGTGAAAATTCTATAAATTAAAAACATTTTATTTCTCTTTTCTCTCTTTTTTTTTTTAATTTTAAAATTAAATGTAAAATGATTTAGGATTGATTAAGCCAATTTGTTATAGATAATATAGATTTATATATTTAAAAAGGACGCTCTACTGCCACTTGGTTGAAGATTTTGAATTTTTTTTTCTCCTATGATACATGTTTCCATACAATAGTATTTTAAACTATGACGTACATGTATTTTCAATAAATTTGTAATAATACCAGATATATATTTAGGAAACTTCTAATTAATAAAAAAAAGATTTATATTATTTTTTATTGAAATATTTGATCGTACTGAACGTAAAAATTTTCCATAATTTTTTATTGTTAATAATATTTGTATATTTACAAAAGTAATTATAATTTTGCTATTGCTACATGGAATACAACAAAGAATTCGTTACAATGGCAAATTTTGATATCTTCAATTAAATTAAATCTAGAAAAAATCTAAAGTCTTATAGATTGTTAATCTAGAGACCTTATCTAAGAGATAATTAAAAGTCTTTTTTTAAATTATTATTACTCCGTTGGAAAAAAGTTTAACATAACAAACAAATAAAATTTTCTGTATGCATCGCCATTTTGGATAATAGTCTGATTATATGAAAGTATAATTGTCAAAGGAGAAAAAGAGAGATTCAATTATTTATTTTAAGATCTGTAAGATAAACTCTGTTCTTTTTTTGAAAACAAAAAAAAACAAAAAAAGTAGGGGTAATTTCATTACGAGTATAAATCATATAACACAACAGCAACAATAACAACAACAACAACAACAATAATAATAGAATATTAAAGCAAGAATATATGATCAAAATCTAGGTGAAATAAAAATCAAATATATTTTCTAAAATTCTATCCCATTTGTTTGATCACTGTAAATCACTTGTAAATAATGCATTATATATAAATTACTGTTAATCGAGATTTATTATTTCAGTTGCACTTCTATATGTAATATATCTTTATTATTATAATAGAGATTACAAGAAATATAACATATATTAAAAGAAATGAAACTATTTTTTTTATTTTGTTTTTTTTTGTGTACGATATAAGTGTATTACTGTATAAATGAGAAAATAATTAAATGAGAAATCTTTGTAGAATAGTACATACCGTACCATTGAAACATGTGTTGCGCTGGTAAAACATTTTTTATATATTATCAGTAAAAAAAAAAGAAAAATCACGCATATACATGTACGTATACTTAAGTCTTACAAATATATATTTTTTTTCTTTTGCTTTTACAAGATTAAGACTATCGGTACTGTGGTTATTAAAAAAGGGATGTGTGTATATTTAACATTCTCAACACATTGATTCTAAGGAAATAATTGTATGATGCTTGGAATAAATACACAATAATTAAAATAAATATTGTATAAAGGCATGTGAATAATAAAGAAAAAAAAAGAAAAAAGTATGATTAAAGCAAAGAGAACGAACTGTAAGTACTAGGGATATATTATATATGTACGCATATATATAAATATAAACATATATTGAAGAGACATAATCGCATTGATACGATCGCGCCATTTATATTTAAAAAAAAAATTTTTAAATAAATCATCTTTCGATCAATTATAAATTCATTCCAATTGCAATATTTGTAGAATTTATATATATGCGTTTTTTATATATTTGAATCGAAAATATATATATGTGGTTGCGATCTATCCTGCGTTTTTTCCAGGACCGGTTAAAAAACATTATAGCGACAATATTTTTCATTTAAAAAGATATTTTTTATTTCTTCTCATTTGAGATACATATTATTATACATCGCCGTGTACAAACGAACGTTTATAGATTAGAAGAATATTATCTATTCACAGGAAAAAATAGATTATTATTATTATTATTAAAATTATTATTATTATTATTATCATTACCATTATAAACATGTATTGAATGTAATAAATTAAATATTGCTGATAATATATCTAAAAATCATTTTAATATTAGTTTTTTAAAAAAAAGAAGACTATTTTTTCTTTTTTTTTTTATAGAAAACTTGATCCATACAAATAGTCTCTTTCGTTAGACCGATTAATCCAATTATGAAAAATGTAATTGTGAAAAGTATTGATTGTTTTTTTGTGTATATATATAGGGTGTTCTGTAATTGATGACAAGCGAGCAGAAAGTGATTTTACACGAAAAAATAAATCGAAAATGTGGAATAAAATTAATTCGTATAAGGCTTGTTTTTCGAGAAAAATAAGTTTAAAAATTTGATATTATCAGAATTATATAATTCCCATTTTATCAGTCTATACATTATTTACTTTGTTTCGATTTATACTATATTTAAAATGAAAATTTATACAATAACATTTGTTTTAAATAAAATAGAGTAATAAAAAAAGAAATGTACAATAGAAAAAATTTATAAGATTCAGTAAATCTACATGTACATCGACATCGATACTTTACTTTTAAAATATTTACATGAATCAAGATAAATTACAAATTCTTGTGCGTATATACACATATATAGAATAATATATATGTATATAGAATCTGAAAGATGATTTTGATCTTCGTAGATTTTAATTATAATAATATTATTTCCGATGTATATTTTGTTTATTAACATACGGTAGAACAATTACAACTGCTTTCGATAGTTGCCTGAATGAGACCATATTGACCAGTAATCATCCAATTTACATCTTTATTGTATAAAAATTCACCTTTTCCAGGCGGTAATCCAACACAAACGTCAGACTTTATTGTTCTCAAACTTAAAATATTAGTTGGATGGAAACCTCTCAATGCTTCTATAAACGATGTTGAATATTCCCAATTGATATCACCTAATAATTTTCTATAATTTAAATCTCCTTTAAATATAACTAATTTAGCATCTGATAATTTGGCATATAATACTTTATCCTTTTTTTTCATTTCTGCAAAATCATAAGGACCCGTCCAATAAGATTCTTCCTGTAGAGATATAAAAAATATTAAATACTTTACGTATTGTATATATGAAATAATTTAATTGAACGTATATTATTACCTCGATGGTCCAGGTATTGTTTTTTAAGTAATTGTAAGATAGATTCGCAATTCTTTCTAAGTCCAGATTAGAAGAATTTCTCATATAATCCAATGTCCAATGAAAATCAGGGGTAGTGGTATCGCTTACGTACCAAGGATAACGTTTGACATAAAATCGAATTTTTCCAGCTAATCCAAATTGAACTAGGAAGATTGCTAAACATATATCTGTGAAAAGTTCATATCCTGCGTTGTCTAATACCATGTCCACGATATTAGAATCGTTTGCTTTTTGTTTATTAAGAATTTGCCAAGCAAAATCAGTTGCATCAACGAGTACATCGTTGTAAAGAGCTGGTAATTGGTCTATAGGATTACTAGTTTGACTAATATCAGATCCTGCGCTTAGAGATAAATCGCATCTAAAAAAATAATGAAATAAATAATCTTTTATGTATATGTATATAAAATATTCACAGGAATATAGGTCTTACCTGTTCCCCCATAGATTTAATTGAACGAATTTAATGAATCCTTCTTTCTTTTCTACTCCTTCTATTAATTTAGATTTATCCACGATATTTAGCAAGTACTTGCTTAAAAGCTTTATAGTAATCAAGGAATTAATAAAAGCATTTCTTTTCTGTTCTTGAAACGGATCATACATACGCAAAGCATTCCTGTAAAATTATAAATTATATCACGCAAATCTCTATGATTTAATAGAATGTCGTATGTTGCTTTGTTGTATTTTTTAAACATACATGAGAAGAAATTTTTGTATGAGAGTACGATACATGTAGCATTCGCAGTATATCCACTCTGTATTAAACCAAGTCGGTGTGGTTCCTTCTTTTTCAGTTTTATCTTCCAGGTACTTGTTCCAGAGGTGCACGTCGTTGTCATCATCGTTCTCTATCATTGGTAATATTTTCAAAGGTTTATTAGTAACGATCTCATTCTTCAATTGACTTATAAATCCAACAATTTGTTTAACCTCTTGAATAGCTTCCTGCGGCACATAGAAATAGTATTAATAAAATTCATGACGTTGGAATACGTATTATAAATCACAATTAAAGTAACATTCACCTGTCCATATTTTAGTTCGATTTGTTCTTTATTACGACTAAAGTTGTCTATTATTTTTGTTAATATTATAGGTAATCTATCCTTAAGTGTAACATAAGCAAAACTCCTGCAACACATAGTAGAAACAAAATCCAAAAAATTTTGATTGAATTTTTGAATACAAAAGAAAAAAATTGAATAATTAAATTCAGTAGATTATACTAACCGCATATAAGTTCCAGAAAGACGTACACCGATGGGTGTTAGGGTATCCTGTAGATTAGCAATCTCTAATGAAGTAGATTTAATCGACATGAGTTTTTTTCCATTTGTAGTCATTATCATTAACAGGAGACACTCAACGAACAAATGATTAATATTTTTGCCTAAAAGACATGTAGGAAGATTCTCTTTCATATCTACGATCACATTAAATTAATATTACATAACCCCATGTTTATTTGTAGGGTATACTTACTTTTTCTCAACGTCATTCACGTTTAGCTGTTAGCTTATACATGGAAATCATTTGTTTCGTGCATGCGCG